AAAAAAAAAAAAAAAAAAAAAAATTGTTACAACACTCTGTAGAAATGAGACATAAAGGAAGTGAAGAGTATTTTTATGACTATGTGGAAAGGAATGCTTTAGAGAAAGTTGATAGAGTTACCTCTTAGGGAATATTTCTGGTTTTCAGAGAAAATGAACATAGTGGATGTGTTCTCCTACTTCAGCCTCAAATGTGAGTTATGGGTTGCTAAGGTCACACAGAGCTGGAAGAAACCTTTCATCCTACACACAGCGCGGGTGAGTGCTCAGAGCTCAAGTAATGCCTGAGACACTGCAACATCTGGGCTCAGGCTGATCAGTGTTACCTGTCTTGTGCTGGTTTAGAAACTGTTTAAGAGAGGTGCTCTGGGTGTACTCTGTGGAACCGCATGAGTGAGGGAAAGCTTTCTGCCCCCTACAACACAAATAAATGTATTTTCTTTTTCTCACATTCTTTTTGATTAGACGCTCTTTCTAGCTTCTGCTAGCATGTGGAAGTATGCATAGGGACATGCTTCCCTAATTGGCATTTATCTGGTATTTGTATGTAGTTGCATAAATTAGATTTGCAGAGAACCTTGGTCCTAATCCTGCTGATAATCACTTTATATACTGTGAGAAGATCTAGTGGTTTTAGTTAAACTGCTGAGTTTTACTGAATGTCAAATCCTTGTAACTAAATGTGTCCTCTTCCACTAATAAGGGAATTCTTCCTTCCATGAGGACATAGTATTCCTGGAGGCAACAATTTAGTCTTTTTGGGTTATTGGAGTAATGACATTTGGAACCCTTCCATATTGTCTGTACAATTTACTTCTGAATAGAAAAACAAATATAAATATTTTCTTACAGTGGTGACTGCCCCTTATCTGTACTGCTCTTTGTATATCAGTGCCTAAGACTGAAAAGAGTCTCAGCCAGCTAGCAAGAGAAGGTGGGAATCATATCTTGTTGCTTTTCATTCATTTTGGGAGCTGGGCATCTTTGCTTCTTCATTGTATATTTGCCTAGTGAATTGTGTCCAGAGGATGGAAAAAATACTTATGACTTCTTTTTGTTTTTTAAATAAAAAATCCATGTATAAATCTAAATGGACTTTAACTCACGGTACATTCAAATATAGGTTTTTGTTAATCAGTGAACCTTTTGGGGGGATCATGCGATCCCGACAAAATAATAAAAGCTAGCTTGTCTGCTTTTATAGGGTTTTTCAAAAATAAAAATGTATTATTTGCTTAAGTGGCCTTCTGGTGTTTCTGTACCAAAGAAGACAGATTCACAATGTGAGGGAAAAAAGTCACAGTGTCTTCCTTGGGAAAAACAGTTTTCTAGGCTTTTGCTGGTAGCCCTGGGGTGACTAGATTGCTAGCGCCCTGTGCTGCTTCTTTACCATCAGGGCCCACATTAGACCTGGCCAAACAGTGGCAAGGGCCTTGTGAGGGGTGCTGAGGTGCATCAGCTGATAAGGTTGGTGATGGGAGTACAGGCACATCTTCTGAAAATATTACTGCTATTTATGGCATGAAGCATAGATAATGTTGAGAGTTCAAGTTAGACTAAGTGGTGCACAGGTAGTGTTAGTGTCTGTTCAATTGCTTGCTTGAAGCATACGTCTTTGCTGTGCTGTGTTGCTTGAACTTGGGTTATGCCTCTGCCTGCAACCACCTGATTTTGCAGCCCAAACACCAGGTGAGAGTTACTGTATCAGAACACATCTTTTCCTCTCCTGGAAAATTGACTTCAGTTATTCTTGGAACAGAGTGACAGCGGTATCCTGTTGTACAAGAAAGCTATCCCACTGTGAACGGATTAAAAGGTTGATAACTGGCTGTGTTTGTGTGTGTGTTTGCTGCTCAACAAAAGTGTCCTTTAATCACTGGTTTGATTTCAGACTCCTGCTTTGAACTTGCTGTGGGAGAAGTGTTGCAGCGATAATGTCGTGGTTCGCACAGCTTGCTGTGAGGGGCTGGTGGCACTTGTTGCTCAGGACCATGCAGAGTTCAGCTATGTTCTCAATGGGATACTCAACCTGATTCCATCGACCAGGTACTCTTTCCTCCATGCTTGATCTGTTGACAGTTTAGTTTTCTAGAAAACAAGTTCACTAGTTCCTTGTTAAGATTCAGCATTTAACTGCTTGCCGAAAGAATGGTCCTGTAAGCCCTCATTTTGCCTGCTGTCAGTCACTTGGGCTTCTTGGTTTCTGCCTCTTTTATCAGCTCTCACCCAGTGCCCTCCTTTCCCTTCTTTTCCACAGGAGAATTTGTTCTGCCGGTGTTTCTGCTCACAATTTTTGCAGTATCATAGAACTGAATGCTTTATCTTTTTTTCTGCCTTGAGTGGCAAAGCTTTAACTATCAGTCTGTGGAAGCTGCCTTTCTGGGCTTGAAATCTGTTAGGCTATATAACCTCTAGCCTTTTAACCTTTCTTCATAAATCCCATTCTGTTCCCTCAGAGCATCCCTTTGTATATTTTTGGAACATTTAATATTGATTATGAGTCCAAACCCTGTAGCATCGTAAGTCCTCAGACTAGCTCTGTTCTCCTGTTCAAGCTGTTTCCTGCCCTGAGCTCTCTGCTCAGGCACAAGTGACTCTCTGCTCTTCCTGAGCCTTTGCACATGCCCACCTCTGCTTGGAGTGCTCCTTCCCATCTCCTCCTGGCGTCACTTTAGGTGTCCTTGGTTCTACCCAGACAACCCCTTTCCTGCCCAACACTTCCCTCTTTTCAGCTGAGTTAAATTTTTTTAACCATACTCTTTGATCCTTAGTAAATGGCCAGATATTTCTGAATAAGAGAGAGTTGGATCATGGCTAAAACCTTATTTTCTCTTTCTAAACACACATGCAACATACACATACAAACACACAGAATACTTTTAGAAGGATCCTATTTGTGCCCATTAAAAAGTGTTTTTTTTTTTTTATTTTTTATTTTTTTATTTTTTTGAGACAAAGTCTTACTATACATAGTTCAGGCATAGTTTGAACTCACTGTGGAGCCCAGGTTGGGCTCAGACTCCTGGTGATCCTCTTGCCTCAGGCTTCAGAGTTCTGGGACTGTGGGCATGAGCCACCATGCCCCACTAAAAAGTACAGTGGATCCTTGAGTTACAGCCTGGCTGATACATGAACAATTTGGGTTATGACCTGAATTGTAGTTTTAACTTACTGCCAAAGTCTTGAGTCCTGAAGGCTGGTCACTTGTGCTTCCAGATGGTCGCAGACACAGATTTAACCCTTGAAGGGTTCTGAAAGGAACATTACAACACCTTTTCCTGTGTAGGGTTAACTGAGAAATCCTGGGCCAGTGGTCTCTCTGAAGACACTGAGGTCTATCTGTCTTCAGAAGAGGGACTTTGAAGGCTGTGTAAAGGAGCCTGAGCCGTGAATTGACAACTTGAGTTCCAACCAGCTCTCAGGAATGAAATGAGTAAGTCAGTCAAGGGTCCCTTAGTTTTGAAGAGGATTTTTTTTTTTTTTTGAGAGAACGTTTTCTTCTTTAGCCCAGGTTGGCTTCGAATATGGGATCCTCTTGCCTCATGGCTTCGAATAAGGGATCCTCTTGCTTCAGTCTCCTGAGTAGTAGGATTACAGACGTACATTACCATGTCCAGGTTTTTTTTTTTTCTCTTGAGACAGGGTCTCCCTATGTAGTTCAGCCTGGCGTTGAACTCACTATGTAGCCCAGGCTGACCTCAAACTCCTGGCAGTCCTCCTGTCTCAGCCTTCAGAGTGCTGGGATTACAGATGTGTGCTACCGTACGTGGCTAACTGTACAGTTTTAGCTTTGCTAATAGTGAGTCATGTAACATCTGATTATAACTATTAATAACCTTAGGTTTTAAAAATATATTTCTTGAATAGGGAATACATTCATAATGAGTATATGAGGCACACTGTGTCCTACCCCATCTCTGTTTTTATCACAGAGGTAAAACTCTTATTAGGTCTTGTCTTTTTAAAGGTATTCTATGTATATATAACTGAAAAATTTTATATATATATATATATATATATATTTTTTTTTTTTTTTTTTTCCGGTTCAAAAAACAGCAATAGTAGTATGCTATACATGGTATCCTTTATTTTGCATTTTTCATTGAAAAATATGTTTTGAGCTCATTACATATATAAAGAGTTTTAAAATTTTTCTAGCTGTATAATATTCCGTCATATGTATGTAGGAGCTATAATTTATGGATGCCCTATTGTTTCCAGTCTTTAGCAAGAATAGACAAGTACTTCAAAGAATAATCTTATCTATAAGGGTGATTATTGGTTTTCAAAATTCTTTGGAAATATGGCCAAGACATGGGAAAAAATCTTGAATTTTGTAGTAAGAAAATATAGAAATTTTCCCAATGGAAGGATACTTTTTTTTTAAGTTTCTTTTTTGAGAAAGTTCATGTAGTCTTAACCACTAGCCACAGGGAGACTTCGAGTAGACCCTGAAGCCATCCAGTTTAATATATATATATGTATATTTTTTTTTTGGTTTTTCTCCGGTACTGGGAACCGAACTCACGACCTTGTGCTTGCCAGGCAGGCGCTTTGCCGCTGAGCTAAATCCCCAGCCCTATTTTGTTTGTTTTTTAGGGATGGGTTCTCACTGTATTGGCCAGTTATAGACAGATGCTGGGCTCCAGGCATTGTCTCACCTCAGCCTCCCCACTATGGGAGCTGCAGGCAGGTGCCACTGTGCCTGGCTTCCCATTTAGTTACTGAATTAGTTTGATCATAAAATGTGTTACATAGTGCTGTTTTATTGTTGCCAGTAGAGGGAATAATTGTCAAAAACCAGAATTTAAACTTTATTTCAAGTAGCAGAATTTTGAGGTTTGTAGCAATTACAAAGCCTCAACTTTGTACTGTTTATGTATTTTTATAAAAGCAAAAATGAGAATCCAGTTTAAGACATAAGCTAATTAAAAACAGGTGCCCCCAAACAACTGTCTCCTCCAGATACTGCTGAGGGCATCTTCTGAGACAAAACTGTCTCTGTCTTTGGGATCTAAAAGTAGAAATGATTTTGGCTGGATCACTTTGAGTTTTCAGTTTCCATTATTTAAATTTCTACTTGTCTGTGGATTTCTGTTTTTAAGATAGAGGCTTAGCAGAATCTAGAGGCATCTTGGGAACTGAGCTGCGCCATGATTGCTTTTCTTTGATTTAGAAAACTAACCCTAAAACCTTGTTCTCCCATCTTGCTTATTTTCTAACCTAACATTCCTCTGCAGCTGAGAAGGAGCTGGGGGTGGGGACAGAAAAAGCCAATAGTGAGGAGAAGCCCACTGTAGACTAGATCGAGGATGTGGCTCATGGAGGTTTCTTAGAATTTCAGCAGAAAGCTTCAAAGAAAAACAGAAAAGTGGGTGAAGTCAGCTTCCAGCTATGTAACTTGCTCCTGGGCCCTTGGCAGGTTGAGCCTGTCACAGGCCCTTGAAACACATGTAGAAGTCCCCCTCCCACCTGAAACCCAGCCATGATTTGTGGGACATTGTTTTAGAGCCTGCTTTATTGTATAGTCTAACTCTGAAAAAGACTTGACGTTCGCAGTGCTCTGGTTGTCTAAACTTCAGGGAGTGGCTGGGAAAGTGTCTGGCTCTGCTTGAGAGACTGTTCTTTTCAAAGGAACAGTTTGATGTCCTAGTGTGTTCTCAGTTCAAAGCCCAGGCAACATGAAACAACTGGAAACTGGTTTTTATAGCTTCTGTAAACAAAGAAATGGATTTAAGGCCTCTAAAATATTCTTTTAATCAGTAAGGAAATTTGAAAAGAAAAATTTTCCCTGGGGAGGGTGAAGGAAAGAAGATCACAGAGGAGGCATAGTAAGGAAATCATTATCACCCATTGAATGTGAATTTTGAAATTAACCAAAACTGTAATTAAAGTGAATGATGTATCATTGCAGTATATACTTTTCTTGTCCTTTGAGGAATTGTTTGTTTTAAATTTAGATTGTTTTTGGTTTTGTTTTTATACTGAATTTTCCTCAGATAAAGAATCCCAGAGAAGGAGTTTCCCATCTTTTCTTTCCTTAGATTTTTTTCCCCCTTGGCTATGCCAGCTCTCAGAAAGCTCATGCAGCCATTGTTACCGTTGCTTAGTAACAGGATTGTGAATAAAACCTTACTTTCCTGTGGAACCAGGTATTCATTTTTCCATACTGAGGTGTCATGACAGCCTGTAATTTCAGCTCACTTCCTCCCATCCTGCTGCTTTTAAAAATGTGCTTGATAGGAAGGTTATAAACTAGGCTGACACCTTATTTGTGTGCCTTTTGTGATTCCAAAGAGAGAAAGGGTATGTGGTTGATGTATTTTGCGAATATAAAAAGGATGGGATATTGAAGTATATTTTCTGATTCCTAAAGTCTGCCTTTTAATGAAATTTTGTATAGGATTTTAAAAATTACCATAGTGGGTCCTGACTAAAGCTGTTGGGTCAATGAGTGTTTAATCATGGATTCATAAGGGTCCAGTGACTAGAAATGATTTTGAGAACTATTTGAAGATTTAGGATTATTTACCAAGAAGTTTCTCATTTCTTAGGGATTTCTCTTTTGTTGATGACCCTGTTCCTTAGGAAACTTGATCACTTTGTTATGTAGGAAATGGGTAGCAACCAGGGAGACATGCTGTTCGTGTCTTGTGTTACTGAAGCTGTTGTGTACTATTTAGCTTCTTCCCTTTGTTTTATCTGGCAGGAGAAGGACCAAGGAAGGCGCCTTTATGAGGGAAGACAGCATGCTTTTAATCTGTAGCTAGAGTGTCAGACTGTTACCTCATGAATTTGAGATGGTTTTAGAGTTTATTAATGCATTGATATCATTGCTCATTTAACTCTAATCAGAGAGTGTCGGAATTACCAGGGCATGCCTGTTTTCCCATGCTGTCTTTTAAATATTTCCTTTAAGCCTGTTAGGTCATTTCTAAGTGTTCTCTTTTTTTGTTTCGTCAGTACTTTTTCTTTCTCTAAAATTCTAGGATCCCTCTAAACTTGAAGCTCATAAACAGAAAAGTGATTCCAGCTACTTTCTCATC